TCGGGCATCAGTTTCGAATGCCTTTCGGACGCCTCCCAAGACACAATGTACCCACATATGTACCCACAATGTAAACCCCACATAGATCCAAGAGCACCTGACCTGCTGCTGTTCCGCTGTGAGCCAGAGAGTTCAGTATCTCCTTCATACAGTTCCAACTATGCCAAAGGTTGGAACTGGGCCTTACTTTACTTAATTTATTACAAGAGCATTGATTGTCTAGAATAAGAAATGTTTAATACATAAAAAATATACTACTACTACTACTACTACTACTATTAATACAAATGCAATCAAATATCCATCAGTTTAAAATGTACTAACTAATGTATCTATCTTAGTCATGAAGATTTCTGGGGAGATGGGGAGGGTGATGATGATGCTGATGGAAACATAGTATTGAAAAAATGGGAGGTCAAAGGATCAAGACAATTGGGACGGACATCTCATGTATTCTCAAAATTGAACGTAGATTGAAAATATTGACCGAAAAAAATCAATGCGTTATTAAATCTGTATGTGACAAACCCCAGAACTTGACTTGAAACGACTCATAATGCAAGCGTAATTCATTTTCCAGGCGTATTTTGCAGGTGCATTCATTGCTTTTTATAGTAAACAGGATTAGCTGTGCAGTTTACACTAACACCTGATTAAGAAAAGAGGTGTATGAGGCCACATGTTTTATTCAATGACATGTGGGAAAACACAACTTTAAATTCACGGACACTAAATAAAAGTAATGTAAATATACCTGTAGTATAATTTCATATATTTCAAAATTTTCAGGGAAATGGTGGCTTACATGCATAGGGAGTCAGTTTGCTGGGAGAAGTATGATAACTTGAGCACTATCCTCTCCTCCTCTACTTTATCTATTTAGCATTATTAGGATTCTGACTGTAGTCTGTTCATTGCTATTCACCCGTTGTCCCATTGTCTGTTTCATGGTACGATGACGGGATCTCTGAGCCAGGCCTCCTCCATTTACACCTGCGGACTGCCCCGCCCGACCCGCCTGGGAGTTCTTCAGTCCTGCACCGGACCTGTCCACGTTCAGCGGCCGCTGGTCCACGTTCTGTAGCTAGCTTAGGTCCTAGATCATTAGCCTGTCCGTCCGGAGGAGCGGATCCCTTTCTCATATGGGTCTCCCCAAGGTTTCTCACTTTTTCCCACTGGGTTTTTTTAATGAGTTTTTCCTTGCCGATGCAGGAGGGTCTGTTGGGCAGTTAGTGTCCAACAGAAAGGATTGGTGATGATCCAGGACACTTTAACATTCTACAACATGTATGGACATTTTTGTGTGTGTGTGTTTTATATTTTTCATGTGTTTTCTGTTGATTCTCTGACCTGTGTTGGTGATTTCAATGGTTTTGTTAAGTCCTCTGAGACAATTTCTGTTGTGACTTAGGGCTATACAAGAATGAATTGTTCATACCATGCACCATTATTTGTTACACTCTTTATGATAGAAAATGAGCAAAAAGCCTGAAAGCTGTGGCTGTGGTTTGTGAATAATGGATTCATATTGGGAGGTATTGATTCAGTTCTGGTTTGGATCATGTCTCTGTCTGTCAAAACATTTAAAATTCAGGCCTGGGGGTGGCTAAGTACTACACTTTAGAAAGAACCCTCAGGCAAGATACCAGCCTAACACTAGTTTATTGTAATATATACACATATATTCAAGGGCTGCAGGCATTATTTGTTCTGTTAATCAATTTGTCGATTGCATCTAGCGGTTAGTCAAAATTACCATTCCATTCTAACATTATAAGAATATGATCAATGAGTGAGGTATGGTCTGAGTTAGCTATACGTGCAAGTGAGGTTGGTCAATGTTGCAAATAAATACATAATTTCCTGTGCAATACATACATAACAGTGCTGACCTCTTTAAATAGACTACTCCATCTGTATTTCAGTTTCCTAGGTCCTTCAAACTACCACCATAGCATTTTCTGTCTTAAAAATTGGACGAGAGGTTGTACGACTCCGATAATTCTATAATATTAAGAATAACCTGAGAAATATTAGAAATACTTAACAAACACAAACAAGCCAATGTGTAACATGTCATCTCTATGATCTAATTCTCCAGGGTAAAAAACAAGAAAAAACAAATAATCGATGATCAAAACAATTGTTAATCACGTCCATACACCCCAAGACGAACAAGATTTGATTTACAGCCAGGTCAAATAATGTGCTATAGGCTGGTGCGGGTAACATGGGGAAACGCAGACTCAGATTACAACATTTCCCACTGTGCATTATGTGTCCCAAGTATTTGAGCGTCTTTTATGAACCCTGAGGCATCCAACAACAGAAAACCCCATTGTCTGTGTGATGTTTCGCAGAGCTGGAACTGAACAGAAGCGTGACATTTCGCACTAATAAATCACATTTATGAAGCCACTTCGTATCCTAGTTTGTATCATACACAACTTTAGTCAGAGATAAGATGATCAAATACAGAAAACATTTCAAATTTATCCAAAACAGATGATGTATGGGCACAGCTGACGCACGAATAGAATTTATTTTAAAAAGGTGAAGGGTTGTGTGTTTAGTTTAGATATCTTTGGCTCTGGATCGCCAAGCTCTTTGCCAAAATCCTGTGCCTTCTCACCTTCAGAATGTTGGAGGAGTAGAGGAGAAACAACCTTACGAAACACTATCATATTTTAGAACGATGACTTTGATTATTTCCAACTTACCTTTGTATACTTTTATTTTATACAGATTAATTCCTGGTATTTCTCCTTGCTTCCACCTGCCCAAATCCACCCACCACCAGCTGATTCCCACCCGCACACGTCGTGATCAGCTGGGATCTATAAAAGCGATATAGACACTATTCTTGAATGTCCTCAGGTTATTTTTGGATACCTGAATGGTACATCTCTAATGAGCCATTGTCCAAGACGCCATTACCATCTATGGCTCATAACAGTTTCAGAAAATGTTTGAAGAGGTTTTGGTTTATACGAGAAATGTGTTTGCAATTAACACTAAATAAACTCATTCAACCTATGAATGTGTTTTTGGTGCCAAACAAAAATCACCCATGTCCAAACTCTAGTCCAGGGGTGCTCACACTTTTTCAGCATGCGAGCTACTTATAAAAGGATCAAGTCAAAATGATCTACCTACTACAAAAATGCAAATCATATATTTATTTCAAAAAATATTCTTTATACCTACAATGTATGTTTATGTACATGCAAAACCGCATGAGCCAATATAGCACAACACAATTACCTATGTACATTTTTTGTCATTACCCGAGTTTACTCTGATGACTTGCACTGAAATGAATCGGCCAGAGATGCATAGTCCGGAAAATTGGTGGTAACTCGCTGACAAGTTTGTCGTGGTTTAGCTTTCCTGCACTGAGCGCGGTTGTTTGCGCATGTGCAGTCACCTGAGTGTCAGTGAAACATTACTGAGTAAAACACACATGTGCAGTCACCTAAGTGTCAGTAAAACATTACTGAGTAAAACACAGATGTCATTTGACTGTGGTGCCATGTCCATGTGCCATGCCTGTTTTTTTTTTAAATCCAAATATTTCCCCTCCTCAGTTTATAAAATAATTTGCATCCACACATCTGCGTTATCAATCACATTCGTAACATTCCAAACATGTGCGTCTCTTACGTCCTGTCCTGCGTTGGGGAAAAACACAGAAGTGGGCGGAGTTCTGAGGCAGACGCCGGTAACGGCACTTTTACAGTAATAGAAGACACTCAGAGTAAAGAGTAAGACGTATGTTTACAAGCACTGACCCCGTCCTCAGCCCTGGTTTAGTCCTGGTTTAGTCCTGGTTTAGTCCTGGTTTAGTCCTGGTTTAGTCCTGGTTTAGTCCTGGTTTGGTTGTTTTCGAGCGTGAGTCCCTGCGATCACTTTGCTGCTCTCTGATGTGGAGGATGTTCGCTGCTGCGAGCATCTCACAGCGAACAGTTTTTAAGGTCGTATGATCCAGGCTTCAGTGATCAGAGGAATTTAGGGGGGTACTGTGGCGTGCGAGAACGCAAAACTCCGGTTATCTCTGTCTACACACAAATGCATTAACGGAGTTTTCAAAAATCTCCACTTTGCCCGGAGTTTTTTGTATATATTCGTTTAGAATGTGTAATTTTTTCATTTATTTAATGCGATCTACCAATACTACCTTTGCGATCGACTGGTAGATCGCGATCGACGTATTGAGCACCCCTGCTCTAGTCCATATAACACAACCTAGTGGCACAAAATTGGACTTCCAGCCTCCAGCCATCTTTGGGACCACTAAACCCACTGAACACAACCGGGGATAGTGCAGTGAGGCTGGGCAAAACCACTGAGCTGTGGCCAGTGGGCGAGAAGCAGTGGAAGGAGGCAAGAATGCACCTTCAATCACTTGTGCAAAAGACAGCATTGATGGCTTGGGGTGATTCTGCTCTAGGAGAAGGGAGACGTGTTGGGGAAAATGCCAAATAGTCGGGTTTTAAAATGTTTGGAAATATACACGCGTTGAGATGGGTAACTATATTGACTGCAAAAGGTAATTCATAATAAATTGAGAAAGTTGCACTTCTGTACATAGGTGGTTATCGTGTGTCATGTCCATGCAGTTTGCAATACTTAAATCCCAAACTGGACCTTTTACAGACATCACACATATGAAAACTGGAGACTTATTCTAATGCTAAATTGTCCAACATTGGGGTATTGCCAGAATTGAAATGCAGAGTTTAAATCAATTCCTATATACACAATATCACACATATACAGAACAGTGAGAAACATACTGGCAATTCAAGCGACTGGACAGATGTATTGACAAAACAACATATGGAGAGAATATACAGCAAATATCCAGATTATCATCGAGATTATTATATGACATTCATTCATTCTCGGTGTATTGTCTATCCCCGCAGCTTTGACGTCGTTTTGAGTTCGCGTTGATCGCTAAAATACATCGCTTCGCGAAGGTACAAGGCGTCAGGCACATGATCGAGGCTACACCAACACGGGTGGGTTTCAGAGTGGAAGCACGCATCCTTCCGCTGGTGGTGGTGGTGGTGGTGCCTGGTGGCTCCTACCTGCAGAGCGGCCATCAGCATCGCAAGCCCCGAGAGAAGCATGGCGTCCTGTCCGCTGGTTATAAGCTCCACACGAAGGCGTTTAAATCCCAGTAAAGGCCGGCGGCATGGGGCAGCCTGTCTCTAAGCGTCTCTCTGCTCCACGGCTCAGACTCCGAGTGTCTGTGGCCGCTGCTCGCTGCCTCTGCCCGGGCTCTGCTCTCTCTGCACCGCCCCCCTCTCTCCTCCCTACCCCCCGCGGGAGAGCGGCGGTGTGTGATTACGGACGCCCTCTAGCGGACATGACGGGGAGGGCGGTGGGAAATGAATTTAGCTAAAACATGCAGGTAAAATTTGGTCTTTCTTGAACATGTGAGACAAGCTTCTATTCTGACAATGTTCAGTTCAGTTTATCTGTGCATACAACTTTGCTTTTTTATGTGCTTATCTATGTGATTATCCCCACCGCTGTCAGACTGTACGATAAGTTACTTTAAGTCACTAATGCACGAGGACTGAAAAAACCTGCACTGCTATTTCCACTGTTTCTTTTATTGCCACTTTTTTATTGTACATAATTATATCCTGGACAGACTATATTTTCGACCTGTAACATATTTGCACATGCCAAATTTGACATGTACTTTTCTCCAGTGTGAGATCATCAGCGTCTATATCATATTTTCTTAATTTCTCTTATTTATGATTTGAATGCCTTGTGTGATTGTTGTACCTTGTTTTAAATTGAGCACTTTTTAAAACAAGTTAGCTTGTGTATGAACTGTGCTATACAAATAAATCTGGCTTGCCGTGCCTAAACAATCACAGTGCAAAACAAAAAGGGAAGATACGAGCCTTCAGTTTTAGGCAAAGCTGTTCAGTTGATTGAAGAAATAAAGTAAAAAGAGCCAACACTAGGTTGGTAGGAATACTGAATAACTCCAGTAATATTTATTTTGTAATATATTCTTTTTTTGCTCATGTTTTTCCGAATCCATTTAGACCGCTGCATTTTGTTTACTTGATCAACCATGCATTAGATGTTTCTTTCAGATTCATTACAACGCAAACAAACACAACAACATGCACATACTTTACATGTTTTGAAAAGGGGTTGGACGAACTCCTCAGAAGATTTACACCACTCTGCTGTGACCGTTAATCAGGAAAATGCATACATCGACGTTGCCCCCAATTGTCTCTGAGCAGAAGGTCTTGCGGTACGTTGCTCAACACCAAACAAAAACAGATTCACAAATATATACAGCAAATCCAATTAAATTCAATTCATTTTTGTATAACCCTAAATCACAACAGTAGTTATCTCCGAGGACCATGCAAAGTTGTCAATTCGCAAACGCAGATTACAAGTGCCAGGTATATGGACGTTCAAAGAGACAGAGCTATATTGTTTATAATGACAAATTATTGACAAAGCCGGACCTAAAAAATGTTTTAAATTAAGATTAAGAGATCTTTTATTCGTCCCACAGTGGGGAAATGTCAGTGTTGTATCACCGGTTACAGCACACAGTACCCCAATAAATGAACAATAACTCTTAACTAAAATAATAATAATAATGCACAGTATTATGTAGCGCTATTTTGGACTCTGCACATGTCATTATTCATTCACTCCATACACGGTGGTGATACAGCTGCCCTGTGACAGACTGACAGATGGGTTAGAACACAACTGCAGTATGGCATTTTACGGCCACAGGTGCCCCACTGTGGCACCTGGTGTTCTCAGAGGTCTACCATCACAGTACTAACAAGGCCCTGCTCTGCGTAGCTTCATAGGTCGGACAGGATCTGGCTTTCACATGCAGGTGCGGCCACGATACATCCTAATCTAACTTTAATACAAGTATAAAATCTCTCACTTTAGCATAATATGTACGTAAATCTAAAATCTCCAACTGTAGCTTTATCAAGAATTAAGTACAACATTTCTGACTTTGGCAGAATAAGAAGTAAGTATAACGATGCAGACACAGACGATAGAAACTTGGTTCAATCTCAGAAAATCAGGCAAATATGACAGAGAGAGACTTATTTGGTATTTCCTGTAAACATGTGAGATAAGTCATCCATTTTGTTTTCTCAAGCCCCAGGAAATGTGTGAGTCATGCGATCCTATAGAAAGCAATATGGACACATTCTGTGTGCGTGCCACAGTTTGAGAGCTCGAACTGCAGATTTGGAACCTGTCTATGTGTGACAGTGTGAAGCATATGTGTGGGTTGCAAAAACACGTCAGCTGAGCAGCACTAACTTTTAAAACTGGAATATGAATTATACAATTCTCATGCTAGAATGAGAAGAAAGACATCATTAACTTGTACGGTTGTTAATCTGCTGCTTACTTTGGTAACTTTCCAGTAATAGGTTGTGTTCTAGAAATTTACTTCAACTCATTTGGTCATTTTGAAAGATCTTTTTCCCCAGATCATTATTTGTTAGTGACAAACTTGCAACCAACCTGCTATATTTTTCATGTCCGTAAATCCTTTCAACTGGCCAACCTCATGGATCTTTTTTTTATTCTTAAATTTTCCAATAACAAATAACACACATACAACATTTAAATAATGAATAACAACATTGTGCAATGTAGAGTAGAGTCCACTCTCCAGCCTCCTTTAGGGCTGTACAAAAATACATTGTGTAGAATTTAATGTAAGGTCATATTAATATTATACATTATGATTGCATTATTATCTTGCTGGTTCCAAGAGTCAGAGTAGACATGGGGACGCAGGGTTCCAGATTCATGTAGCTAAAAACTGGAACAATCTTCCTGAAGATGTGAGGCTGGCATCTACTATGGCAGTCGTCCAATCCAGGTTAAAACAGTATTGTTTAGCTGTGCATACGACTGAAGGATTTTATATTTACTCTTTTTACTGCATTGTGGCTGTTTATTATTTTAATCCCGTGTGTGTTTTTGATGTTTTAATATTTTTAATTACTTGTGATTTTATTCTGTTCATGTGTTTTTTGTATGTATACGTACATTTTAGTTTATGATTTACTTGATACAGTATGATGTGGGTTGTGAGGCGCTTTGTGTTGCCTTGTGTAGGAAAGGCGCTATACAAATAAATGGTCATAGCCTAAATGAATGTAGCTCTTGTGGTCATTTCTCACCAGAGAGATGATCCCCCTAAACTTTTACGAAATACTTGAAGTGAACGGGCATTCCACAGCTGGTTTTGTACTGGACACTGTTTATTCTGTATACAATCTGGAACAATCTACCTGAAAATGTGAGATAGGCCTAAAAACAGTTCTGTTAACTGTACATACAACCACATTACACACCATACAATAATAATTTACATATTTAGTTTCACATTTAGTTTCAACAACTAAATCAAGCCTGCAGGTTTAAACCACTGGATTCCTGAATTGTTGGCTATGGTTTTACAGTGTGTACTACATACAGACCGAGTATGTCTCTGTCTAGAGACACACTCAGATAATACAGAGCAAGGATGAAACTATATTATTATTAAAGACAAATGAGGAACATCAGGGGGCGTTCCCATGGCAACATTTCCCAGAGTCAATTTGGAACCAGAGATGATTGTATATTCTCCTAGGACGTCATTATACAGTGTAATGCCGGGTACGACAGCGCTAATATGCCTCAGGTAGATGTGGGATGTGAAAACAAAATACAATAGGCCTCTCATATCTTATTAAGGGCCATGCTAACAGATCACATACTGTCGCTAATGTAAGGATAGAGGAAGTTTGGGTTCGGGATGATCGAATATCTTTTGCTCTGATCATATTGTTTTACGGTTGTCAAGTCAAGTTTCATGATTGGATTGTTTGATTGTTTGGAGTGAAATCTGAAAAATCATTCATCGCCCCACAGTATGTTGCCTATTGACTACACATCAGCAGCAGGCTTTGGCCCAGTCACATTTAGCCTTTAGTTTGTCTTGTCATTTGCATGATTTTTGTTATAATCAATGAATAAAGTGCAAAGTCTCTCAAAAAGACAACTTTAAGGGAGTAACCTTATGTCTTGGTTAAGCCGGTAGGGTGTGGAGGGAATGGTACTGATGTCCGTCATTATTAAGCTAAAGATAAAAAGGAAGACATTTATTTGTTTGTTTTATTTTCTAAGTGGGTTGTGCTATTCTTTTGTTGTGTGCTCCTCATTCCTACTGTTCTGTAATTTGTGATACAATACAGATTCAGATTCATTTTATTTGCCATTTGCAGTAAAACCACTTTGGAATACATTTGCAAAAGTCCCCAGTGTGCACAATACAAGTACATAAATGAAACAAGATTAAAAGTACAGAAACAAAACAAAATAAAAAGAGTGCAGGAAACAATTGTCACTGTGAAATCATTCAACAAAAACAGTTTCAATACAAAGGCAAGAACATTAAAATTCTCCGTTTAAACCAATAACAGCTTGTGGAAAAAATATCCTCCTTATCAACTAACGATATCTTCTGTCAGAGGGAAGAAGCTGGAACATGTCTTCACACTGAAGGACCAAAAAAACTTAATGATGAAGGTGTTTGAGAGGCTCTGACCACTCACCTCTCAGAGAAAACCTCCCGCTCCACATTTTAGAACGGGGATCTCATACTTTTTTAGGCCACGACTCCCAAAAATGTGGCTCAGTGGAGAGAGGACTTTTCCAAACGGCTGAACAGCAGATGTGTCTGAACCGTGACACACAAGAGAATTTCAGTCACTTTTTGCATTTGAATTTTCAATCTGTGTAATGGTAAAACGCTTGTGGGTGAAAGCCATGTTTTTTTGTAAATCTAAATCACTATCAACATTAAATAGAAACAGTTATTCCCCCTTTGTGGACATGTTATTGTTGGCCTTTAAACATAATCTTAATTCCAGTTTGTATTTCTAATCAAATAAACAAGGTGATGTGTTTGCTTATTTCTTCAACACATTCACACTCACACATATGTATTTAAATCATTCAGTGGTTGTACAAATATTTCCAAACTCATTTATAACCGCGTGTGTACGCTATTGACCAGCGGAGAATGACAGAGTTTTGCCCTCCGGCCGCCACATAATGATGCAATATGAACATAGATTTACATAATATGGATGGAAGCAGATTACAACACTGGGCTGGGATTGTGCAGAGCTGCCTCATTTGAACTGCACAGAGCAATGCTTTAATTATCCCAGATGTATTTGTCCAAGTCAGAAGTGCCGCGAAAAAGTGCCCACAACGATCAATACAAAGTTTGTTTAGATTCTTATAGGATTCTATACGGGATGCTAATACATACTGTATTTTCACAAACTCATTGCTGTCCAGAGAGTTTTTAAG